TAGCAAATAAGGCTATTATATGAAAGAATGACATTTGTTGCATGCTGTATGAGAAATGTGGTGGAGATTTGGCGCTTAGACCCCTGTAGAGCGCAAGAATGGGGAAATGAAAATAGAGATTATGAGATCAAACCCCCTGAGACTAGACTCTGGCAGTGGGAGCTCAGAGAATGGTTGAAGAGCTGGACCTGTCTGGCAATGCCCACCGCATTGCCAGACAGGTCCAGGGTAGGAGGAGGGTTGCAGCATGAATGTAAGCTTGATGCAGGGCGGTGCTTAAATGCTGCCAGTTGAGTGTGATTGACGGATGAGGACTGAGAGCAGTGAGTTTGTGGATACGTAGTTTCTCCAGCCTGAACCTCAGGTATAGCTTCTCTTGTCTCTCTCTCTGCTCTCTTTCTTTGGACTCTCTCTCTCTGGTCTCTCTCTGATGTCTCTCTGGTGTCGCTGTGGTCTCTTTCTGGTCTCTCTTTCTGGTCTCTCTCTCTTTGGTCTCTCTCTGGTGTCACTCTCTCTGGCTTGTCTCTGGTCTCTCTCTGGTCTCTTTCTCTGGGCATCTCCCTCTGGTGTCTCCCTGGTGTCTCTCTGGTGTCGCTGTGGTCTATCTCTGGTCTCTCTCTCTCTTTGGTCTCTCACATGTCTCTCTGGTCTCTCTCTCTTTGGTCTCTCTCTGGTCTCTCTCTCTGGTCTCTCTCTGGTCTCTCTCTGGTTTCTCTCTCTGGTCTCTCTCTAGTCTGCTTAATGGCCTGTATTCAGGTGGTTCCCAGATTACCGGTTGACGTACAGCATCTTTTCTTAATAATAAAATGAAAGACATTTTTACCACCATTATAGCCCACAATAATCCTTACTCCGGTGTATTTCCTGTGAGCAGCTTGTGGTTCTCTATTCCTTGGTCTAAACGGTCTTATCCAAGTCTAAAGTTTCATGTTTTTTCTCCTCATTTTGTTGTGACTAATGCACAAGACTGAGCCCACCTCTAATTGTTTAAAAAAAACGCATTTCTGCACCACAGATCTGCAGCCTCCACACGCAGCATTACCGTCTTCTAGAATCTCCACAATCCAAAGTCTCTGTTGTTTTTCGAACCCAGCGTGAATCCACTTGTGCAGATCCCTGGGCTTTGATTTTCTATACCTCCTCGTGCTTTCTTCATTGAACTCCCAGCAGAGGATTCTCTTATTAAAGGGGATGTATGCGGCCGTGTCTCTGCATGGACTCTTTACCTGCACTGCTGTGATGAGGGGGTCTGGGGGGGTCCCTGTGGTGTGAGGAGAGCGATGGGGGGAGACACAACCACCGTCCTGGACAGGCACTTTGAAGATGAAGATAATGTGTGTAATTATCAGACAGAGGAGACTTTAGACCAGGCTTTTACAACTATGTTTCTATCTCTCATATTACACAAGAAAATACAGGAAGAATCCAAGCACCAATTCAGACAAAGAGACGTAGGATTTTACATAAACTTTTACGCCTTAGTACAAAATAAAACACTTCACCTCATATTTAGTCATTAGTGTAAAGTGACTTTGGGATAATCAGAACAGGTGAATGGCACATGTACATACTTAGCAGTTCTCATTGTACAGTCTGACAGCTGTAGTCGTGGCATATAGCAAGGCAATTGTTGGTAATTTATCTAGCATGGATTCCAAGAGTACAAGTTAAACAGTATTCTGCAAACAAATTCATTAAAAAAGAAATATAAAACTTTTTTTCTTTCATGTTTTCTTTTCAAACCTGACTTTTAAGTTTGAAAAGCATTATTTAAATCAGACATTACGACAATCTGCTTTTCATATGAATTATACAAAATATGTGTGCCAAAAGTTTGACAAACTTGATTTAAAATAAAAATTCAATTGTTCCAAAAAGTGCTATGGTATTTGTAGCAGAAGACTCTTTCTACCTGTTCATAGTGGACAATTCTTGAAGGAAAGAGTTTATGTCTTATCATAAGAAAATAAGCAGTTTTAAGATTGTTTTAAATAAAACTCGGTCTTACACGCGTTATAATGACTTGTCTTTACAAAACAACCTAAGTTCCAGTTACATACTGCTGTTCAAAGCCGCTAAGTATTGGCCAAATAGTGGTCATAATACATTCAATTCAATGTATTAGTGTTCACCTCTGAATCACAACAGCGGTCGTCTCGTAGGACTGTACAAAGTTGTTGAATCCTATACAAAAGATTGAAGAACAATGTCCTTTTTCACTTCAGAATTGTCAAGGGAGAGTGTTTTAAATGCAACGTTTTGTGACATAATCCACTTCACATTGTCTTCATCTAACTATACAACTGTTGAACTATTACTTTATTGTAAGTGAGAGCCATGTGAGTCAGGATGTGCCTCTTTGGGCTGAGAGCTGGAGGTGACAGACAAACAAGTGAAACACATGATTAAGAATGTGCGCAGGGGATTGTCGAGAAACTTCAAACCGATTCACTTATTCTGCTTTTATTTCTGATTGTGTGACAGCAGAAGACATGTACAAAGCTTGGGCCGACCACAAAAAAAGAACAAACATTTTGGAAAAGACTCGCAGCCAATCAGAGAATCAATAAGAGAGAGACGGAACAGAAGGCGAAGTCAGAGGGCAGTGAACTGTACGAAGCTGGAGCCTTGTTTTTCTTTCTATGCATAACCTCTGACCTGCTCTTTGTCCTGTGTCTTTGTGCGTTTGTGCTGCTAAAACCTGTTTCTAAACTATACTTTTGTTTCTACCCTCAAACGAAACATCGAGAGGGGAGGTGGCAAACTTATAGCTCACACCAACTTTGAACCTGGGTTGTAAAAACTTTATTACGATCGGCAAAAGCATCGGTCTGAGTCGGAGGGGAGAGAGAAAGAGAAAGTCAAAATTGGCCTGATCCCAACAAAACAAAAAAAACACAGCTTATCAAATGATTACACAGACGAAAACAGTATAAGAGGATTTAACACCGGGACTTTGAATACATTTCACATATTCAGAGACACGTACCACCAACAAGCAGGTCTTACTTTTAAAACCAGCGCTAATGCTATTGTGCGGCGTCAGTGGATTAGCCTTAGCACTTTGTTCAAAATGAGATGAATAAATTTACTTAGCGACACTCAGCTCTCGAGGACAAAAGACTTCACTAAGCTAGATTAACTGCAAAGAGAAATTACCACACACTTTTAAAGATGCAATATGTAACACACAGGTCTGACTTTAAGAAAAATTACTGGCTACAACCGTAATGTGGACTTGGCAAAAACAAAACTGCATTAAAATGTCAATATCTTAATTCCCGTACTCTACTCTTCTATCTGGGACTGTATCCTAGCAACTCACAACAATCCAATATCTGTGGAAATTCCTTGGTAACCGTGGCTTCTTGCAGCACTCACAGCCAATTGGTAGAGCCTCGTAGGGCCGGTGGAGACGACAAATATTTCCCCGAATTAGCACAATATCAAATAGTTCACTACAAAAAATGAGATAATAATTGGGGGAGACTTTCTTTCATCTTTTTGAACAAGATCATTTTGCTTTGTCCCATTGAGAAATTTTGTTTTAGGTAAAAATGTGCTCAAATTGGGACAAACTTGAGACATTTTTTTACTTCTTTTTCACCACTTGTAAGCGACAAAGTTCACCAAAGGACAAGAAAAGCCAGTTACTTTATGGGTCATGTTTTCTCAGAGCGTTCTTACCTTTACAGACAATACTAATAACTGTATATCAACAACTGGCTTTGAATATAGGGTTCAGTTAGACACAGAATCATGCCGCCGTGGAAAAAGCATAAATATTGGCTTTTATATAACACACACATTGCAAGCAGTGACTCACTACAGTTGATAAAATAAAGTTTATATTGTATTGGGCTCACTCCACACTAAACTGTAAATGTGTTACATTTGGGTCAGTGAGACGAAAAAGTCCCGAAACGTCCACAGACCCAGACTCTTATTTTATTCCAACTGTTTTTCCATTGAAGGGGGCCTTACTTAAACAATGATTCATTCTCATCCGTGCTATTAACAGCTTTGGACGTAACAACAAGTGCGTCCAAAACTCCCAGTTTGTCTGCAGTTACAGTATTTAATCATATTTTTTGTATAACATATACTCTATAAATAGGGATTGATTATAGTTATGTCCCCAACTATAAACCGTTAAATAGCCCCCCCTGTCTTGTTAATTATACCATTCACAAAGCCTCCAACAGGACAATACAATTTTTTTGAAACGCGTCCATTTTTCTTGAAATGGTTTTGAGCTGCCATCTGAGATTATCATAAGTATATCTGTAAGCTACATAGTATTAAAGAATTATGAGGTACAAACATTTTTGGTTAATACATGTATTTTATTGCTGCTTGAAGGACGATTGACGCATTGTACAGTTTAGTGTGGAGTGAGCCATTATTCAAAAGACAGAAGAAAGACAGACATCACCGACACTCCATCACCCGACGCACAGCCACCAACCACCTGCTCAGACACCACTTTAAAGTAGATAAGAGAACCTTACCCTACACCGCAAAAAGTGATGAGAAATTGCTCAAATTTGGCAGTATCGTAAATCATAATTCTAACTGCACATTTTGACTTGCTTGAAATAACGTTTATGGAACAAGTAAATATATCTTGTTTTAAAAAGTTACAAGAAATGTCCCCCTTGGATTGAATACAATAATGAGATGAGACTGAATGGCTTTGTCCCATTGGTAAATCTTGTTGTCAGACTGTGCTTAGATGAAGGTAAAAACACTTGATTTGACCATTTATTTAATCACGTTTTTTTCTCAGTGTAAAGTTCCTGTTGTTGGCCTTCAGAGTATCCCATTTTCAGAGAATAACAATAACTCAACAACTTTTTGGAGGTGATTGTTTGAAGCCACTTTCATCAAGCAGCTAAGTTTTACTCAAAGGGAAATGGTTAAATTCCACTGGGATTTTGGTCCAAAGGTTTGTATGATTCTGACCTTGACTGGGTACTGGGTATATCCAATCCCAAATCATGGGTGAGATTGAAAATAAATCGTCATTCGTATTCTCTGAAAATGGCCTTGAATAGAGTCAAATGGTATCAAAGTACTCAACATTAGGATTTTTTAAAAAGTGTATCTGGCAGTTTTATTGTCTTGCAACTGTAATTGTCACATTTCATTTTAACACTGACAACAATAAAACTACAGTAAAATGTCTATATCATAAGTCCCATTTCCACCAACCCGACTTGGCCCTACTCTACTCTATACTCTACTCGACTCGGCTCTACTCTACCTGGTTGCGTTTCCATTACGCTTTAGTATCGGGTATCATATCCCAGCAAACCAACTCACAACAAACCAGAATCCGTGGATATTCCTTGGCACCCATGGCTTCCAGCAGAACTCTCGCCAATCACTGAGAATTAGAACACTTTTAGCACCAGCTTGGCCTGGAGAGAACAACAAGTATCTGGTACCGGTTTAACAGAAACACTCCATCAGTAGTAGTAGTAGTGTGGGAGTAGAGTAGAGTAGAGCCAAGTACTGTTTTTGGAAACCTCGCTACAGTATTAATAAAGTAGTAATTATAATAGTAATACTAATAGTAATTCCTATATTGAAGTATTTCCCCCCAATTGAGCACGTGTCCTTCTCTCCCCCGCCCCTCCCCTCTGTGCAGACTCGCTCGAGGACCCGTCCAGCGCCGGCGTGGTGGCGGGGGCGGTCATCGGCTCCCTTCTCGCGCTCCTATTGGTCGTGGCCCTGGTCGCCGTGCTCCTCAGCCGCAGCCGTCGGCAACAGACCCGCGGCTATCCCAGCAGCGGGGACTCCTCCATCGCCACCGGCAGCGGCAGCCAAGGCAACGGAAGCGGCAACTACGGCAACAAGGCCCGCCTCCTCTTCGGCCAATCGGGAAACGGTAGCAAGAACGGGACGGGGAACAACAACGGCCCCATGTACACGTATCGGGAAGGCTGCGATGCTACAGGAACGCTAACGGACAACCACCACCACGTCCATCACCACATGTCGGCGAATCCGGCTGATATTTTGCTCAACGACGAAATGGAGAAAGCGGAGAGGAGGAAGTTTGCGTTGGACGACTGTATCCACGACGATGCGGAACCTTTTGGAAAATTTGGAGTCGGGAACGCCATGCAACCGGTCTATCCCCTTGAGGAGGAGATGGACGTTTACCTGGATGACGATATGGAGTCGCAGAGAGATGGATCGGTAATTTCGCGGACTGCTATTTACGTGTGAGGGAGGCGGAGGAGAGATTTGGACAAGACTTGAAGAACATGGCGGCCACGCTGGCTCAGTAATCAGAAAACTAAAGCTTTGTTCAAGTGTAGCCGCGTTATCAGCAGAAGGACTGAAGATAAAGGGAATGTTCTGTGGTGTAACTGTCTTGTATATTTGGGAATTGTTGTCAGGCAAAACAATCAAGGCCCTGTACTCGGTTTTATACCCATGGCGAGAAATATATTTTGCCCCAGACGTGTTGTGAAAAGGTTCAAGGATTAATATTGCAACAACACATAATTACTTGGGTAAAACTAACTCGACGGTCTAGTCCAGCTAACGTCTCCTATTAGTGGGTGAAAAATCCAAGGCTTAGTAAATTCTGCTTCACAATGATAGAAAGAGCCGAGGTTGAAGGGTCAAATCAGTTCTCGACATCAAAAAGAAAATGGCAGCCCACATTTGACTGCAGGGCTTTGTAATCTCACAAAAACTCTGGGAATGCTGCTAGGTCTTATTAGCTCATTGGGATTGCGAAAGAGCTGAACAAGGTGATGGGTAAAGGGGAGTGATTTGAAGAAACAATAGGAATGCTGTTAATCTGGCAGCTCACGTTGATGGTAAAGCAATAATCTGTCTAAGTGAGAAACAACTCTGGACAGCATAATCCCGTTGAACTCAGACATAAAAATATTTGTTGACAAAAATGGTCTTCGCTATTTCTGGAAAGCTGCATTTAATGACCAAATTTGGCAATGGGTTCTTCGGTACATACGTTAGACCAAAAAGTATTTTGCCATGATCTTTGAATTTTACATTGCATACTTGTACCTGAGGTTATCTAAACTAGCTTGATTTTCAAGTTTCTATGACAATGCTAAAATCGACTACAGGGCCTTTCGGCAAACAAAAAAAATCCAAGCAACTCAAAGAAAACTGTTGCCGCTTCTGCTACATCGTGGTCCTTTCTGCTTTTGCAAGTCTGTGACAAATATGTGCCGCATATTGTTTGTATTTTCTATGGAACTGTACAGATCTACACACACCAGGATTCGAAGGAAAAGGACTTCATCAAACTCTAAAAGCACTCCATGGCGCCCCCTATTGTCCGCACTTAGACATGGCTTTAAATAGAATCGCTCAAAAACAACGTCCATCTCTGCGACCGGACCGGAGATTTTAGCATTAATTTCAACGGATTGGGAGACAGAAATTTGACTTTTTCTCTTTGCCGTGTTCTCCCTGCCGCCACAGCCACCTGGATTTCCCATTGTTTAGTTGATGATGCAGAGACATAGCCGCGGTGGGGGTTGCCGGTTCCATCGCAGGCTTAACCGCACGTTCTAATGTGGAACTGGCTGAGACGCAAATGGAGTGCAACATCTGTATATCGGTGCCAGCTCGCTCGTCCTCTATAGCACAGTGTGATGTTGTCGTTGAGTGTGTTTGTGGCTGTTTTTCTTCTCGTCGTTGTGTAATGGTGTTGATCTTGCTAAACAAAAGGCGCACCGGGAGCCTTGGGGAGCGGCGTACGATTCCCCTAATGATTCAAGATGTTCTTTACTTTGTTTTATCCCAACTTCCCTCACAGCGTTGTGTGTATTCTTGGTTTCTTTTTCATTGTCATCCAACGCACACGGAAAGACTAAGATCCAGCTCAGAGATGGCAGGAGATTACATGAGTTTGAGTAGTTTTGACTGAGAGAGTTTTGACGGAGTTTATGTGAAATATATTTTTACTTTGACCGGTGTTAAAACTTGCTTAAACCATTTAATTTGCCAAAAAAATTCAAATAAAAATTCAAAATTCAAATATTCAGAAACTTGCTCCACTTGATCCACTTTTTATCATGGAAGATTCTTTCAACGATGTGAACTAAATTACATTACACTTTGTCTCATAACTCACACATTAATTCTTTTCACAGACTGTGCTACATTTATACAGTAGCCACAGCTGTCCTGGGGCAGACTAACCAAGCAGAAGCTGACAATCTGCACCATTTTTTTTTTAATGTTTACTTGAACATAGAATAGATTTTTTTTTAAAGAAAAAAAACATATTCACGTTCAAAAGTAGGAAGAAGCCAAAGCTTATTAAATCCTACCCCTTTTCCCTATGTTAATTCAATATATTAAAATAAGTTGTAAAACAAATATCATAATGCATTGGTTTAATATTGCACTTTGTAAACACAATAAAGTCCGAGGAGGCAAACCTGAACTGTTAGCTTCCATGTCCGATGATCTATTTAAACAATAAACATGTGTCTTACAGCAACTAAACCTGGAGGGAGTCATGCTAATAATCCATAAACTCTGTTATGACAACAGCACAGATCACATAAAAACAAACCCTTTATATTTCATGCATCTGCAAGTTATGTGTTTTTAAAAAAATGAATGAACACAACTAGATGCCTGTAACCTAAAAAATTAATAATAATAATTTGGAGCATAAAAAAATCCTCCTCTAATGTTTTTCATATTTTACTGAGTTGGATTTTCTAAATCACATTTCAAGCTGGGAGGCTCCATCACAGACTTTACAGAAACGGCGTTCATGTGTGTGCTTGGAGTTGGGTTTGGTGGAGAGCAGGCGGGAGGGGCAGTGGTTTTGACTAGTAGCTACATCGGATGCTGATGCTAAGCCTGAATCCTTTACCGCACCTTTAAATCAGTGGTTCTCAAAGAGGGGGTCGTGGAACTAATAACATATCATTGTAATTAGACATATTAGCACAAAACATGACAAAAATAAAATCAATACCATGATTTTAGCCTGTTTTATTCTTCAAATTCATGGTGACTTCAGTGGATCACAAGTCTTTTTAATACTTTTATTGGGTCCTGACCTTGGTCGTAAAAGCAATTTGCTGTAACTCACTCAAAACTACTCATGGACAATGTTTTCAACCTTCAATGTCTGCGATGCTCTCACACACACATACACACACACACACACACGCACACACACACACACATTTTTGGCTTTTGTAAGGGCAGCTTATATAGTGATTGTGTTGTGTAGGAGATATTTCTGTTCCGATCTGGGGCAGATTCAACAAGAGGGAGATGGGAATAATGTATGAGCTGTTGTTTTTGATTCGGAGCTGCTCATTTTTCCTCGTGTCCCGGTGAATGTTCCGGGTGATGGATCAGATTAACGCGTGTCCGGGACAGAACAACACCGAACACATAAATTACAATGAGAGCGTGTGTAATCCTCAAACTGAATACACGTTTCTCTGGGGCTGTGTCTAAAAGTCCACACTATTCTCTGTCTATGTTTAGTGCTGCACTGCAAGAAATGATCAAATATGAGGTAATAATTGCTTGAAACTAGAGGTTAATTTGAGCACATTCTGATCGTGTTATAATAAGATTTGCCAAAAGGTCAAAGCCATTCAGTCTGATTTCAAGATCATTTTGCTTTTCCCATTGACAAATCTTGTTTAAGGCAGTGAAAATTGTAGTCATTCAAGATACATTTTGCCAAATTTGAGCATTTTTTGACTTATTTGTCATCACTTTTTGCAGTGTGTCTGTGTATCCAGCAGGTCAAAATCACTTCATACATTTTGAGAATTCACTTTTTTAGCCAATCATTCAAAATATACCACAAAATTCAGTCCTTCAGTTTATGTGAGGAAACTGGTGAGTACACAATAACATAAATAGGATAAGGTTAAAAGTACAGGAATCAAAAGTGCTGAAAACAATTGACACTGTGAGATTGATCCACTAAAACGGTTTCAGTACATTCAAGTGCTAACCATAACCCATTAAAGTGCTTTGTTTAAACTGATGACAGCTTGTGGAAAGACGCTAAGCAAAACAAACAAAAAATCACATGTTTATAAAATAAGCAGCTAGCTTCACTTTGGGCGTGATTAGCACTCTCGCATCTCAGCAAGAAGATCCTGGGTTTGTAAGTAAATAAGTAAGTAAGTAATCTTTATTTATATAGCGCCTTTCACAGACCAGAGTCACAAAGCGGTTTACAATTGAGGTCATTTGTCTCTGACTCCACTCAGAGATTGGAGCGGGGTCGACAGTACAGGAGGCACATGCCAGACCTATTGTACATTTTTAGTGGTAGGGAACTGGAACAGACATGGGGAGACTTGCAAACTTCACTCAGAAAGGCCCTGTTCCGTCCGGGATTCGAACCAGGACCTTCTTTCTGAGTGTTATCCACTCAGTGCCGCCCAAATCCCGGTCGGAACAGGGTCTTTCTGAGTGGATTTTGCATGTTCTCCCCGTGTCCGCGTAAGTTTCCTTTATTTGTGTCGGTTTACCCTTCCACTAAATACATGCACAATAGGTAAAATCCTCCAGTTCCTGTAGTCCTGAGCAAACCGGGTGGGTCCCTGAGAACTATACTATGGCGACCACTGCCACTGACGGAAGCCTTAGTGGCATCAGGATGGGTCAAATGCAGAGGATACATAATAAGGTGCACATTTACATTTAACTCCAGCAGATGGATTGCATCAGTAACCAGTGCTTAGCGGCTACAAAGGTCACAGACAGGAAGATTCTGGCACCAACAGTGTCATAGTGTCTTTACAAAACCAGTGAGAGAGAATATAACACCCTGTCCCTTCCAGACTCCATCTTAAGATTATTCCACAAATGCTTTAGATAACATCTTAGTACTCCACTCAACTTTTCTCCATATAGAATTGATCAATATCTAATTCGGAAAACCAATGTATACAAACATTGTGATACACAGACCCCAGATTCACATGAGGCTCGTGAAGGAAACACACTAGAATCACTAGAATGCTAAAAATAGTGCTGCGTGATGTAGTGAAGGAGAGATTAGAGACGAGGATGGAGATTTGGACACAGCCAAACTACACCGTCAACACCCACAGAAATATCTTTGTGTTGAAATCCATCGTCCCACTTTGCTTTTGAGTGTTTGATGTGTATTTATAGGCTGTAATCTCTTGATAATCCAAGAGCGAAGGTTAAGAATAGAACATTTCAAATCAAGTGTTTTTGGA